AGAGAAAAAACTTTCAAATTTTCACTGTTGAGTATGATGTTATCCCTGAGCTTGTAATATATGACTTTTATTGTGTTAAGGTACATTTTTCTATACCCAATTTGTTGACAGTTTCTATCCTGAAAGGATATTAAATTTTGTCAAACATTCTTTCTGCACTTATTGAGACAATATCACATTTATTGATGCATATGTTGAACCATCATTGCTTCTTGGGGATAAACTCTGCTTGATTATGAATAATGATACTTTTACTGTGCTGTTGAATTTGGTTTGCTAGGATTGTGTTGAGGATTTTTTGCATCTATGTTAATCAGAAATTATTGTCCTGTTATTTTATTTTCCTGTAGTGTTCTTGTTTGGCTTTGGTATCAGGGTAATACTAGTGCTGTAAAACATGTTTGGAAGTGTTTTATTCCCTTCATTTTTTGGAAGAGTTTGAGATAGATTGGTATTAATTTTTATTTAAATGTTTGGTAGAATTAGCCAGTGATGTCATCAAGTCCTGGAATTTTCTTTGATGGAAGACTTTTGATTACTGATTAAATCTTCTTACTCATTATTAGTCTGTTCTGATTTTCTATTTATGATTCACTCTTCACAGGGCATATGTTTCTAGGAATTTAAATATTTTCATAGATTATCCAATTTGTTGGCATATAATTTTTCCTAGTAATTTCTAACGATCCTTTGTATTTCTGTGGTATCAGATGTAATATATTTTCTTTAATTTCGAATTCTATGTATTTGAGTCTCTTTTTTTCTTAATCTTGATGAAGTTTTGTCAACATCATTTATGTTTCAAAACAATACCTCAGTTTTGTTTATATTTTTATAGTGTGTTTCAGTCTGTATTTCATTTATTTCTGCTCTGATCTTTGTTATTTACTTCCTTCTACTAACTTTGGGCTGAGTGTGTTGTTTTTCCTATTCCAGGAGGTGTAATGTTATTTATTTGAGATATTTTTTCCTTTTTAATACAGGCATTTATTACTCTTCCCTCTTATAAATTCTTTTGTCCCATCCCATAACGTTTGTATGTTGAATTTTCATTTTCATTTATCTCAAAGTATTTTTAAATTTCCCTTTTGATTTCTTTTTTGACTCCTTCATTGATGAGGATTGTGTTATTTAATTTCCACATATTTATACATTTTCTAATTTTTCTCTTGTTATTGATTTCTAGTTTTATACCATTATGTTTGGGAAAGATGCCTTTTATGATTTCAGTCTTCTTAAATTGGTAAGAGTGGTTTTGTGGCCTAATCTATGATTTATCCTGGAAAATATTTTATGTATGCTTAAGATAAATGTGTATTCTGCTGCTGTTGGATGTTATGTTCTGTATATATCTCTTGGTTCCATTTAGTGTAAAGTATGGTTTAAGTCCAATGTGTTCTTAGTGATTTTTCTGTCTGGATGATATATCCATTGTTAAAAGTGATGTGTAGAAATCCTTTACAATTATTGCATTACTGTATTTTTCCTGTCAGATCTCTTAATATTTGCTTTGTCTATTCATTTGCTCCTATTTTGGGTACATCTATATTTACAATTATTATATCCTCTTGAGAAATGGACCCCTTTATTATTATAAAACAGCCCTCTCTATCTCTTGTTCTAGTTTTTGACTTAAAGTCTATTTTGTTTTCTGTACAGCTACTCCTGCTCTCTTGGTTTTCATTTGGAAAATCTTTTCCCATTACTTCATTTTCAGCCTATTTGTGTCCTTACAAGGGAAGTGACTCTTTTTAAGGTCATCATATAATTGGATCTTATTATTTTATCAATTCAGACACTCACTATTTTTATTGGAGATTTTAATCTATTTACATTATTGATAGGTATTGCTGCCGTTTTGGTAATTGTTTTCTGACTGCTTTGTAGATTATTTGTTCTTTTCATCCTCTCTTGCTCTCTTCCTTTTTAATTTTATCCTTTAATTATTTTCTCCTTATCTTTTGTGTATCTACTATAGATTTTTGCTTTGTAGTTACCATGAGGCTTACATAAAATCTTTTAGAGTTATAACAAACTATTTTTAGCTAATAACTTTACTTCAGTCATACATAAAAACTACACTCCCAACAGTATGCTTCTGAGATCACAATTTATATCTTTTTAGATTGTGTAGTTATCGTAGCTATAATTATTTTTACTACATTTATTTTTTAAGACAATACACTTACCATTTCGTGTGAGTTTTATACTTTCATGTGTTTTTATGTTACTATTTAGCGTCATTTTCTTTCAATTCAGAGGCTTCCTTTTATCATTTTGTGTAAAACAGCTCTAGTGATGATGAACATCCTCAGCTTGTATTCATTTGGAGAAGTCTTTATCTCCCTTTCATTTCTGAACAACAGTTTTGCTGGGTAAAGCATTTTTGGTTGGCAGTTTGTCTTTCTTTTAGCACTTTAAATATATCATCCTACTTTTCCTTGGCCTGCAGGGTTTCTGCTTATAAACCCACTGATAGCCTGATGGAATTTCTTTATATATCATTAGCCTCTTTTCTCTTGGTGCTTTCAAAATTCTCGATCTTTGATTTGTGTGTGTGTGTGTTAGTAATCTTTTATTGGAGCTTGATTCTATGTCTTGGTAAAGTCTTCTTTGGACTGAAGCTTATTGGAAATCTTTGAGCTTCATATACCTAGACGCTTATATCTCTACCTACATTTGAGAATTTTTTAGCCATTATTTTTCTAAATAAGCTTTCTAGGCCTTTCTGTTTCTCTTCTCTTTATTATACACCCATTAGGCAAAAGTTAGCTCTAATGATGGTGTCCATAAATTTCATAGTCTTCATTCATTTTCATTCTTTTTTTTTCTCCTTTCACTGTATATGTTCAAATGATCTGCCTCTGAGTTCACAAATTGTTTTTGTTTGCTTGATCAAGTCTGCTGCTATTGTTTTCTACTGTATTTTAAATTTCATTCACTGTCTTTTTCAGCTACAGAATTTTCTTTGGTTCTTTTTAATATCTATCTTTTTACTGAACTTCAAATTTTGTTTACATATTGCTTTTCTGTTTTTATTGACTTGCCTATCTGTGTTCTCTTGTAGCTCACTGAGCTTCCATTGAACAATTATTTTGAATTGTCAGGCAATTTGTCTAACTCCATTTCTTTGGAAGTGGTTAGTGGAATATTTTTGTGTTCTTTTGGTGGTGTCTTGTTTCTTGATTTTTCTTGATCCCTGAGTCTTGTGTTGCTTTATTCACATTTTAAAAAGTCATCTCCAGTTTTTACTGGCTGACTGCAGGAAAGAAATACCTTCACCAAACATCTCAGGAATTTCATGGCTCTTTCAGATCTTTTCTGTAGATGTGCCTGCTATTGTTTTCTATGAGGGAGAATTCTTAATACCGTATGCCTTCTCTTGAAACTTCAAAGCTGGTGCTGATACCCTCTTGTTGTTTTTGGGTGGCACCCTAAAATACTCAAGTTTGTGTACTTTTTCCCAATCATGCAGAGTTAGGATGTCCATCTGTACAAGCTGCTTGTAGTTGCCACCCACAAGGGTGTTTCTGATGAGTTGTCCTGGGTGAAAGAGTGAGGCACATTGAGCCTTTGAGGAGCCTGCTGGCCAGTTAGAAGTTCACAGGTGAGGTCTGCTAAGTGACTGATGGGTGGGCTTCCTGATGGAGTCTGTGGAGTGGTTAGTAGGGTCTGGAGTTTCACTTCTGTGCTCCCAGCCCTCTCAACCCCTCAGACATGTTGATTACTTCAGTACTTTGGGTAGGATGAGAAAAAAAAAGTGGGCCTCTTGAGCAATACCCCACATAGCTGAAGGAGTCAGATGCTCTGTCACTATGCTGTAACTTTCCCTTGTGGGAGAAACAGCAAACCAGTAGGGTGTCTCTCAGCATTAAGCGATGCTGTCTCAGGGGGTAGAAAATTCCTTTTCTGCCATCTTGCTAACATACTTTTCAGATGTTTTATTAAAAGTTTAGGCTGGGCGCAATGGCACACGCTTGTAATCCCAGCACTTTGGGAGGCCAAGGCAGGCGGATCACGAGGTCAGGAAATCGAGACCATGGTGAAACCCCGTTTCTACTAAAAATACAAAAAATTAGCTGGGCGCAGTGGCGGGCGCCTGTAGTCCCATCTGTTCAGGAGGCTGAGACAGGAGAATGGCGTGGACCCGGGAGGCAGAGCTTGCAGTGAGCCGAGACAGTGCCACTGCACTGCAGCCTGGGTGACAGAGCGAGACTTGGTCTCAAAAAAAAAAAAAAAAAAAAAAGTGTATTGATGAATAGGTACAGAAAATAAATGTACAACATGTATGTGAGATTCTCGTTCTGATGACATACATTTAAAAATATGTTATTTATTGCTTCAGGTATTACTTCAACAAATATTAAATGTCAAATTTGTTTGAGGCTTGAATCAAACATGCAGAATGCTGAGAATAAAGTGATAAGACATGCGTAATCCTTACCCTTGAGGAAACAAAATATGTTTCTTTTAGCTAGGCAGATGAAATTAGTAAAACCTGGGGCATAAGATGAGTTATACTGAAGAGTTTAGCCTTTTCCCAAAGACTCCGGAAAGCAGGTAGAGAATCTGGTTCATGGAATTACCTGTTTATATAGCAAATATTACTCTGGTTTCAGGTAAAAATGAAGGAAGGGGAAAAAGAGTGAGAGTGAAGTGTGGAGATCAGAATGAAGTTGATACAGTCAGGCCAGGCGCAGTGGCTCACGCCTGTAATCCCAGCATTTTGGGAGGCCGAGGTGGGCAGATCACGAGGTCAGGAGATCGAGACCGTCCTGGCTAACACAGTGAAACCCTGTCTCTTTTAAAAATACAAAAAAATTAGTTGGGCGTGATGGCAGGTGCCTGTAGTCCCAGCTACTCTGGAAGCTGAGGCAGGAGAATGGTGTAAACCTGGGAAGCGGAGCTTGCAGTGAGCCAAGATCGTGCCACTGCACTCCAGCCTGGACGACGGAGCGAGACTCTGTCTCAAAAAAAAAAAAAAAAAAAAAAAAAAAAAAATGAAGTTGATACAGTGAAAGGTGGGATATGATAGCTCCCAAATCACGGATCATGACTATGAATTAAGGAAACTAGATGAATTTTAGAAATCTTTATGATGTGAGCTTGCCTAATTTGGTTAGTAGATATTGCAGAGATAAGAAAGAAAAAAGAGATTAAAAAAAGTTTTGTAGCAAATTCATTGGGCACCCAACTTAAACATTTAACCAATTTTTCATATACAGTCTTGAAACAACCTAGAGATGGAAGTTTCACTTGTCAGTTCATGTATGTAGTATCATAATGGGTCAACTGATGTTATTGTGTTGATTTAGTATTTAATACTTTAAATAAGAAATAGGAGGCAATAGCTTGTATTGTCTCAACCTGCACAGAAAAGGTTTTGAAACCTAATATATTAGCTATTGCTTAAAACAATACATTATCTCATGTATTCTGTGTCATGAGTCGAGGAATAATTTAGTTAGCGTCCCGTTTAGAGTTTAACAAAGCTGCAATCAATATGTTAGCCAGAGTACTAGTCTCATCTAAGGCTCAACTGGAGAAGGAACTTCGTTTAAGCTCATGTGATTGTTGGCAAAATTCAGTCTTCTTGCAGGTTATCGCACTGAGCGTTATGACTTTTTTACCAGCTGCTGGACAGAGGCCACCCTCGGTTGTCATGTGGCCCTCTCCATATTCTAACTCACAAGATGCTCCGACCTCCCGCCTGGGCGCCCCAGTGGCGCGAACCAGAGTGCGCCTGCGCGCGGGCCACAAGGCGCTTGCAGCTGGGAGAAGCGCGGCCACACTGAGAGTCACGTGGTGCGGTATGCTGGGAAGCCGCCCCGCCTCTCCAAGACTTCCCTGCCGCGTCCCGCCCCGCCCCTTTCCCGGCGGGAAGGTCTGAGCCGCTCTGAACTGCGAACTGCGCAGGGTGGCCAGGGGTGAGTGTCCATGAGGGTCGTGCGTCGCGCAGACCAGGACGGGTCCACGCTGGGGCGCCGGCTGTCAGTATGCCTTGCAGGGACCAGGGGACAAAATGGCGGCGGGGTGCGCCTCTTTAACTTTCATAGTACTTTACCACTCTTAAAACTTGAAGTCAGTTTCAGACTTGTTTGTTTTTCACATTCTATTTATTTGAAACCGACAAAAAGCAAGAAAACATACGGGAAATACACCAATGGCAGCTGGTTTCTTAAAAGCCAGCAAGGGAAATAATGTCTCCTAGGAAGACAGCTGTTAACAATCTTACATGTCATAATTACATATAGCATGCCACTTTTGTTGTATTCTGCAGGCTAGAACAAACTCACGAGTCTGACCTAAACTCAAAGGGAGAAGAGTATGCAAGAGCCAAAGCATGAGATGGAAACCATGGGGCCATCTTTGAGTCTGTCTGCCGCAGAAAGATGAACACAAATCCTGTGAGTCTCTAGATTATGTTTTTTCTATATACTCAAAGATTTAAGGATACAATGATACCTAAACCAAAACAATAGTGTATTATAAACATACCTTTCTTGTTTTAACCTGTCTTACATGTTTGCTTTTCAATATCTCAAAAGTTGTGTTTGTAGACTTCAAATAAGTAATTATCCAGATATACTTGACTCAGAAAATACAACATTATTTTCCAAAGCAGTGAAAATTGTGCTTTGCGGCTCTGGAGATACTACTTTGAGCAAAAAAAAAAAAAAAAAAAAAAAAAAAGCTTAGAAAAAAATGTGCCTACGTATCAGGGTGTCTTGTAATTCAATTGAAATTCTTAAAGCTTCTTTCTATTCTAATATTCTTTGTGTAATCCCTGATGAGTATTCTGTGTATATGGTAACACAAACAGGCTTAAATTTGGGACAATTTTAATACTGACTGGTAAGAAATTTATAGAAGAGATGAAAGAGCTGTTCTTACTGTTGCTTGTTCATCTTTTCTACTAAGTCTTATTGAGCAGAATGGTAAGAAAATAACTCCTAATACACATCACATAAGCAATGCATATAGACTACATGTATTGTCATTCATAAAATTTGTCTCTAACAACAACTATGTCAAAGCTATGAATGTTGCATCCCATTTAGTCTTCTGTAATGCTTTTCATTCCTTAATTCACTATTGGCCGTGTTCTTGCCTATCTAAGACCAATTACAAAAGATAGTTTACTTTCATTTTTTTCTCCCGTTGCCATAGTTTCATATCAGTTAGGTAGAGCAGCAACTCCCAAGTGTTCCTATAATTATTTAGCGCAGAATTCTGAGTATCTGAAAATGCAAAATCCTGCAATACTGTCCAATTGTTTGTTTAATCACAGATATATGAAAGAATTAAAAAACCTGCAATGGTATGGCTAGCATGAGTACTCCAAAATAAATTAGGCATGACTGTTGCCATCAAGGGGCATGCAATCTATTTTGATAAATATATCTATGAAACAATGCCTCATGTTCTAAGTGCTGTGAGACTAACAATAACAGAAGAGCAATGGTAAAACTACTAACAACTTTAGTATCAGGAACGGTATATCATTTTTACATGAATCATCTAGTTTAAAATTAGTCCCATTTCTGTGAGGATGAGTTCATTTTATTTTTTTTATTGTGAGTATTAAAAATTAACACAATTTTAGTGTCTTAAAACAGTATAAATGTATTATGTTACAGTTCTGTAGATCCAGGTCTAGCACCAGTTTTAGTGGGCTAAAATTGAGGTGTGGCCAGGGCTGTGTTTCTCTCTGGAGGCCCTGGGAGACAATGTCTTTCTTTGCTCATTTAGATTTTTGGCAGAATTCGGTTATATGTGGTTGTAGGACTGAGGTCTTCATTTCCTTGCTTCTAGGAGCTACCCACATTCTATGACTCATGGTCTCTCTCCATCTTTAAAGCCACCCAGAGTTGGTCAGGTCCTTGTGTTGCATCTGACATATTCATCTACCTTGTTCTTCTACTTTTAGAAACCCATGTGATTAGGTTGGACCTACTTTAGTAGTCAAAGATAATCTAATCTCAGGAAGATTTACTCTTGTCTACACAGTTCCTTTTGTGGTATAAGGCAATATATTCACAGAAAATTAGGGTGTGGACATCTTTGGTGCCCGCTATCTACCAACACAGCAATCGTTGTAGCCGTTTAAAAGATGAGAAAAGTCATTTCCAAAGCTACAAAGGACATTATTTAGACCCAGGGTGTATAATCTGTTTCAAGGCAATAATTAGAATCCATGAGTAGAGTAGAGACACAGAGGTGGGGCTCTATGTGGTTGGGGTTGCTTATATTCTTCAAAGTTTAGTGATCACCATTTTTTGTTTTTGCAGTAAAAGTCCTAGAAATGGACTGAAGGATATTTTATCCTCAACTAAGGGTGCAGGTTTATACATGGGTGGATAAACACTAGTCAAATTTCTCTGTTTATATGTTCCCCAAAATCTGGTCTATGGTCCATGGTATCATATTAATATATGTGTGCAATGACCTTTTCACATATTCAGACTCATCCATACCTTACTATCACGTTTAAGTATAATAGCAGGTATTTAATCTAATTTCTGTATACGAATGTCCTGAACAAACTGGTTTTTCAGTGTTTTTTTCTGTTATCTGTTGACTTGTGCCTTAGATGCTTTTCCTTTTTCCTGCCTTTGCCCTTCCATTTACACCAGCTGAGTTACATGCTTGTCAAGAATTGGTTCTGTTCCCTTCAAAACTGCTTATGCTACCTGTAGTGGTTACGTGTTTTAATTAAATACCAAAAATATGATTAAATGAGTTTAAAGTAGAGGAAGTTTGTGGTTCAATTTAAAATGAAATTAGAAGCTTCCAAGAGACTCTAAAGAGTAGATTTAAAATCTCACCAAATTAGGTGTTTACACTATAACTGTAGGAGACCAGAAAAATATTTGGACAAATTTAGCCCTGAGAATGACCCCAAAAATGGCTGATTTTTCACACGGTTTGAAATGATGTAGAACTGGGACTCTAAAAAGATGCGTTATGCATTATTTGGATCTTGAGAAAATTACGGAGAGACAGTATTGGATCACAGTCACAGAAAGACCTTATAGATTTTTCCAAACACTGTTGGGGATAAATATATACATTAATGAGTTTGAAGTTAAAATATTAAGTTGATATCATTATGGTTCAGGTTTTAGTTAAATTTTAATTGACATATATAATTTACATACTAAAAAATCACCCTTTAAAGTATACAGTTTATTTTTAATATATTTATAAAGCTGTCAACTACTATTAGAAGAGCTACTCCTTGCTCCCCTCCTCCAGCTACTGGCAACCACTAATCTACTTTCTGTCTCAATGGGATTTTATTTTCTGGGCATTTCATATAAATTGAATCACACAATATGTAGCCTTTTGTGGTTGGCTTCTTTCACTTAGCATGTTTTCAAGGTTTGTGCACGTTCTTGCATGAATCAGTAGTGCATTCCTTTTTATAGCTGAATAATATTTAATTTATGGATATAACAAATTTTGTTTATTCATCAGTTGATAGACGTGGAATTTTTCACTTTTTGGCAATTATGGACAATGCTGTGAGGAACATTCATGTACGAGCTTTTGCATGGACAAATATTTTCAGTTCTCTTGGGGGCATACCTAGGAGTAAAATAGCTGAGTGATACGGCAATTCTATATTTAACTTTCTAAAGCAATATCTGCTTTCCAGAGGAGAATTGCACCATTTTACATTTTCACAAGCTACATATGAGGGATCTGATTTCTCTACATCCTTGCCAACACTTTTTATTTTCTGCCTTTTAAAATTATAGCCATTCTAGGGCAATTAGGCAAGAGAAAGAAATCAAGGGTACTCAGTTAGGAAAAGAAGAAGTCAAATTGTCCCTGTTTGCAGATGACATGATTGTATATTTAGAAAACCCCATTGTCTCAGCCCAAAATCTCCTTAAGCTGATAAGCAACTTCAGCAAAGTCTCAGGATACAAAATTAATGTGCAAAAATCACAAGCATTCTTATACACCAGTAACAGACAAACAGAGAGCCAAACCAGGAATGAACTTCCATTCACGATTGCTTCAAAGAGAATAAAATACCTAGGAATCCAACTTACAAGGGATGTAAAGGACCTCTTCAAGGAGAACTACAAACCACTGCTCAGTGAAATCAAAGAGGACACAAACAAATGGAAGAACATACCATGCTCATGGATAGGAAGAATCAATATCGTGAAAATGGCCATACTGCCCAAGGTAATTTATAGATTCAATGCCATCCCCATCAAGCTACCAATGAGTTTCTTCACAGAATTGGAAAAAACTGCTTTAAAGTTCATATGGAACCAAAAAAGAGCCCACGTCTCCAAGACAATCCTAAGTCAAAAGAACAAAGCCGGAGGCATCACACTACCTGACTTCAAACTATACTACAAGGCTACAGTAACCAAAACAGCATGGTACTGGTACCAAAACAGAGATATAGACCAATGGAACAGAACAGAGTCCTCAGAAATAATACCACACATCCACAGCCATCTGATCTTTGACAAACCTGAGAGAAACAAGAAATGGGGAAAGAATTCCCTATTTAATAAATGGTGCTGGGAAAATTGGCTAGCCATAAGTAGAAAGCTGAAACTGGATCCTTTCCTTACTCCTTATACGAAAATTAATTCAAGATGGATTAGAGACTTAAATGTTAGACCTAATACCATAAAAATCCTAGAGGAAAACCTAGGTAGTACCATTCAGGACATAGGCATGGGCAAAGACTTCATGTCTAAAACACCAAAAGCAACAGCAGCAAAAGCCAAAATTGACAAATGGGATCTCATTAAACTAAAGAGCTTCTGCACAGCAAAAGAAACTACCATCAGAGTGAACAGGCAACCTACAGAATGGGAGAAAATTTTTGCAATCTACTCATCTGACAAAGGGCTAATATCCAGAACCTACAAAGAACTCAAACCAATTTACAAGAAAAAAACAAACAACCTCATCAAAAAGTGGGCAAAGGATATGAACAGACATTTCTCAAAAGAAGACATTCATACAGCCAACAGACACATGAAAAAATGCTCATCATCACTGGCCATCAGCGAAATGCAAATCAAAAGCACAATGAGATACCATCTCACACCAGTTAGAATGGCGATCATTAAAAAGTCAGGAAACAACAGGTGCTGGAGAGGATGTGGAGAAATAGGAACACTTTTACACTGTTGGTGGGATTGTAAACTAGTTCAACCATTATGGAAAACAGTATGGCGATTCCTCAAGGATCTAGAACTAGATGTACCATATGACCCAGCCATCCCATTACTCGGGATATACCCAAAGGATTATAAATTATGCTGCTATAAAGACACATGTACACGTATGTTTATTGCAGCACTATTCACAATAACAAAGACTTGGAATCAACCCAAATGTCCATCAGTGACAGATTGGATTAAGA